TTAGTTTAGTCTATTTTATTTTATTTTATTATTATTTATTTATTTTATTTTATTATGGTTACCTAACCGATAACAAGAAGTGGACACACTCTTCAACTTTTTGTTGGTCTTGATTCTTTTTACTTGTCTTCACCCTAAGAATAGATTATTCAAGTTGCCTCTTTCTAATTCTTGCATGCTTTCATTCCTTCATTTATTATTAATACAAAAGGAAACTTCTGACTGTTTCTATCTTTATCTCTCTTTTTTTCTTTTTTTTCTTTTTTGTGTTAAACTTTTGGGTTTTTATTTGTTAAAAATTAAAACTATGTAGTATCATAACATGTACTTTTGCAACAACCCTGTAGCAACAAATTCAACAAAGAGGCTAAAAATTTATTTAATGATCAATTCGTCCCACCTTGAAAATTTATATAATTATCAATTAGTCAAGCCTTAAGATATATTTTTATCTTTAATTATAAAATTTAAAGCTTTAGAAATAGTGTAGATCGAGTAGATCTACGAAAACTTGAAAATCATTAAAATTAATGGTCAGAATATTTGTTACAAGATGCACTATTTCAACCCTCCCCATTTAAACGTCATTGATTGTGCTTGAAAAGGCAATATTGGGACGTTTAAAAAAATGTTTTCGAATAATAAAGACGGTTAAAAAAACATCGTTTCAAACAATTTCCAAGCGCATTCTCTGACTCGCCGATTGTTGATGTCATGCCAACGATTTAATGTCACACACCGGTTTTGTACAGATAAACCCAATACCGGTTTTTGGCCAGATCCGAAACAGGCTGGGCCATTTCCGATCCTAATCACCTGATTCGGAATCAAGTTGACGACTTTTAAAACATTAGTTCTCACCAATAGACACAGGAATACATTTAACAAAGAATCGGCGAATGTCACTTAATCCTTCAAGCAAGCAAATTTATAAGTTCAAGTCCAAGCTGAAACTTGAACTGTAACACTTAGTCTAAAACATGACTTAAATTGCATGCCGTATGAATTTACTATCTAATGGATAACACAAAATGATATTTTACCATATATATCATCACAACTATGTATATGATAAACATAAAAATTCATTTCCATGTCCGAAGACTCCAAACAGGAGATAAGGTTAAAATCATCCGATAGGATTAGGGCCCGTAACTGAAGATCAGTATCCGCGTAAGAGATAATAAAAGATAACAAGAAAGGTACCGTACATCAAGATAATCTCAATAAAATGTGAATATTATAGAGAGACTATTAGAATTCAAAATTCAATAAAAAGAGAGACTATTAGCATCCAAAATACCTCATTTTCAGTTATGATTTACTGCATGAAGAATCTACGGACATTTAAATATAAATACAAGGGCATTACATCTTATCAATTCATTATCTTTTTTTGATGATTTTTCTCTCTCTAAAACCACGTTTTAGGATTTTACCATCTCTGAATTTTGTTGCCAGTATTAATACAGAGCCTTTCTCTCTCGAATTCTCCATTGCCATTACCGCATAGCCTGTCTCTCTCTAATTCTCCATTGCTTTCCTCGCATCCCTCTCTCTCTCTCAGCTCTCTTCCTTTACTCTCTCTAACAGCTTGGCCCTTCTCCTTCTTCTTCACCTTTTCTTTATTGGTATTGAAAGTTAAATGCAATGAGGCAATACCCTGGAATCTCTGTTAGTGATCTTCCATTGCAATGGGAAAGGGAAAAACACCCTAGAACTGTGAGGATTCGACCCAAGATAACGGTATTACAAATTTAGTTGAACCAGATGATAAAGTCCCTGGCAATCTCATTAAAAAGGCAGGAGAAGATGTGAAGAGTGAAAGTTTGCAATGGTCTCAAAGGCTCAGAAGTTCAGATAAAGATAGAGCGCTGAAAACCACTGAATTTTGGCCCAAAATAGAGATTCAGCTTTCCAAAAAGGAGATTCAGGACGATCTCTTGGCTATGGGAGCAAAGCTGCCACTTAGGCCCAAGAAGAGACCCACAGCAGTGAAGAAATATATAAAGGTTAGTATTTGGTAGTGTTTAAAAGATCGACTCGGTTAAGGTACTCGAATGTTGGCCGAGGCGAATTATTGGGCCGAATCCGAATAACTCTGCTGAGTTCATGTCGTACGATACTTAATCATATCTCTTTCTTTCCCCCGCAGTGTTTCTTTGAATCTCTCTGTAAAATAGTTTGTCGTTTTGGCATCTCTCATAAAGCATTCTTTCGTCGCTTTTGCAGGATCTTTGTCTTGGGAACGATTTACCACATATTTCTCCTGCCAGATATTTGGTTAAAGTAGTAAACTGCTTCCAAGAAGACCAGGATAATGATGAATAGATTTTTTTTTTTTGTCATCTTCTTTCTAAGGTTGTTTATTTGTTTAATTAATTTTTTAGTTCTGTTTTTACCGTTTTGAGCAATGTAAAAACTAAAACCGTTTTTACCGTTTTTAGTTCTGTTTTTACCGTTTTTTAGTTCTGTTTTTACCGTTTTTTGTCATCTTCATTTTATTTTTTTTATTTTATTTTTGTTATTGATTGTTACAATTACATTCTTCCTCTTGTCACTAATACTTGTTTGGACTGGTTGAGGAATAATTGGCTCTTAAACGAGACCTTATTTTCTATCCAAAATAAGGTGTTGTGAGACGATCAAGTTGAAGAAGCATTTCAAATGAGATATCGTGGTTTCGATTATGAATGAATTGTGTTATAGTGAATGCGCCATTACTACAGTTGCCCAGATTAGAGGATAATTGCACAAGAGAGTTTTCCAAGGTCTTATTTCTAGTATTTTAAAACAGGAATTGTTTATGTGGATACTAGTCTTGATTGGTGAATCCAACCAATTCTCTATGGTGAGAATTGGCTCAAAAAAGACCAAAAAATTGAAATAACAAACTAAAAATAAAAAAAATAAAAAAATGAAGTGTGGGAACTGGGTGATACAACGGGTTTGGATCACCTGGATCATTGATTTTCTGACAAGAATGGGCGATCTTGTATAGACTCGGACCTGTTCCCTATACTTGCTAAGAACAGCTTTGTCCTTAATAGATTCTCAATCTGAATTGGCGATTCCCAATCTGGGTTCTTGTAGTTCTTTCTGTGCTCTCTCTTTGCAGATGCTACTCAGAATGAAATGTCCAAGAGAGAAATATATTGAGCACATGTTGCTTAAAGTCCTCATTTTGAGTATATAAAATATAGAAAAATATATCAAAATACACCTTACTTTTCAGCTATTTAACACAGTACCCTTTTTCTACAAACCCAACTCAAAAGCATGTGTATTTTGTAGGGAACGTTGAAACTAAATCAAAACAGATGGGTAAAATGTTAAGAGTTAGGTACATTCTGATAAACTTTCACCAGCCAAAGGATCATATGCTCCCCTTGTATCGTATGTTTCGTCGATTCACTCCCTCGGGTAAAATCCCATCTAAAAATATTTTAAGGATTTCAAAATATAGGAGTATGACCTCATACCTACCGGCCTAAGAAAATGAAAAACTATATGCCCTAATGTCTTAAAAGCGAATATAGATTGTCCAATTTCAAAATCGCCATATCTAGGTGCTAGGAACTCGAAATTAAAACAGTGTGTTGATCGGAAGTGGATTCCAAAATTCTAAATAAAAAAAAAACTCCAAAAGAGCTATTTCGCTATAGGGGCTAAGTATACAATATGCCCGCAGTAGTACCCTATTTTGCTCTAATTAAAAAAAACAAAAAATTTATATGGATATTGTGATGAAATGCACTCGATCTCCTTAACCGATTTACAGTTTTGCAATAAACACGACTGAAACACCGCTCATTTACATCACCGCATTAAAGAGAATTGCAAAAGATTTCATGCTCCGACTGGAGCAGACTGTCAAGTCACTCCCTCAGGTAAAACCTGCTCTTGGACTTTTTTTAGGACCCAAAATTTTTGGGATGTAACTCCTGGCGAGCCACTAACCTTATAAAAGTTGTTTTTTTAAATTGCCCTCTGATTGTACCCAAAAATAAAATTTTCCAATATTGAACATAGACCTTCCAATTTTATTAAAAGGCCACATCAAATTTTGAAGAACTCAAAACTTTTTTTTTTCTAATGAATTTTTTGGTGATTTTTAGATGGATCCTAAATTTCAATTCCAAAAAACCTTCCCAAGTAACTCTTATGC